GACAGGCCTCTGTCGTCCAGCTTCCCGCTGTTACTCTGCATGTGTAAGCCTTGGTGATGTTAGATGGCATAGTGATGATCCATAAAATTTATATCTCTGTCAACAATGGCGGAGCCACGCCCTAAATTGCAACAATGAAGTTTATGGCAGTTAGTCAGTTTGGTTTGAGAAGACATTGTGTGTATTTCTGACAAGTTGATAATCATGGTAAACTAAGAAGCTTAGAAGCAGAGTAAAAAAAAAGGTTATGAAGCAGTGGCAGCTCATGCTTTTACTTCACATTTAGAGCTCCAGTTCTCAGCAGGGTTTCTTTTTAAAAAGATATATTTGCATATATGCAGCATGTGTTTATAATAGCATTCATGTCTCATTCTTTGGTTGTCATATTTCTTTTCTATACAAATTGTAAAGCTCCGGTTCATGTTACCGATTTTTGCATGCCTTGTGTTCATAACTTTGCAAACAAGCTGATAAAGTGCAACTTTAAATTATAGAAATAAGGCTGGGAAGGTCAAAGAAAAGATGTGCAGGGAGATGACTTTATATACCACATAAAAAATGTGAATATGAGTAGCTTCTACTTGCACACTGATATGAATTTCGCTATTGTTAGTCACTCATTTTGCTATTACATCATCTGTTGTTTCAGTAAATTAAGCTATATGGTCAGCTTGGTCTATATTGCTTGAGGTTACTATTTTTTAGCTCATGGTCAGGAACAATCTCATGCTTAATGCTCAGACAGAACTCAAGACATTAGTTGGTGCAAAACATACTTAAAAGTCAAAGATAATCAGAAGCTCGTGAAATTGCATTGGATTGCCAAAGGGGAATGAGGAATTGAGAACAGAGCTCAACATCAAGCTATTGATTGATTGCTCTATGAACAAGCTATTGTCAATACCAAGGTGAAACAAGATGCAAATTACCCTTCCATACCTGAAACTCAAGACGTGAATGACTAGCAATACATACATCATTCTTATGGAGGGAATATTATTAATGATATCCTGCTGGATGACAAACCAGAGGTTTTCCTACAGATGGTTCATCCTGTGAAAGAGCCTAAGCACTAGACGAAAAATGCAGCCACAAGGATCACCTTTTGAGATGAGAAATTTCTGAACCGCAACTTCAGTTGGAAGTGATGCATGAAGAAAATAGTAAACTTATGAGTTCGTATGAGAAAGCTATGAATTTAAAAGTCAATTTTCTGAGCAAGGCAATCCTGAAACTACAGAAAACATTCAGTTCAGGGATGTTGGAATGGATGAAGCAGTAGATATTGAGGGTTTCCGAGGAAAACATGTCCATGACTCTCCAACTGTAGCTTTTAACATGTGTTGCAGCTTGTTTGGGTAGCTGGAGCGGTTCAAAAAAAGCTTCTGAATACTCGGGATGCAGACTATGCAGTACAATATTTCTAAACTACTTGAAATGGCTAGCACTAAGGCCCAAGAGCTTTCGATAAGCATTCAACTCTGTTGTCTAGATGTTCAGCAAGAGCAGGACGGTATGAATGCCTCAAGTTTTTCCGCAATATTCAACTCTGTTGTCTAGATGTTCAGCAATGTCAGAATTAGAGGAGAGAGAAAATGCTTAGGAAGTCAAGTTTTTCCGCGAGCAGCTATCATTTTGGGACTTGGATTTGAAAACCAAAGCCCTTGACGGGTCGAAGTTTTACTTAGTGTCGCAAGGATGAAATTTCTGCTGCATGTATAAATAAAACCACATAGGTCTGAAACTGATTTGAGAAACAGAACTGATGGTGTTAAATAGTAGAAATGTGTTCTTTTGAAGCTCATGTTATTGATAACTGGAAGGTCCTGCTACTCCATTATAGGAACTCAGTGAATTTTGGCAAGGCATTTGAACTATTGAAATCTAAGAGGAGAGAACAAAACTTCTATCTGAACAGAAGAAGTTCGGCGAGCAGCTTAGCATAGCTCAAAAGAAAATTAAGAGCATGAATAACTGTGATGATATTGAATGGTCTATTAGTTTGTGTGAAAATCGTCATTGTAATGTACACCCCCGGGCAAAGAGTGGTGCGACAAAGCGTGTAACCACTTCTAGTCCAATATTATGAATCTATCTACCTATGTACTACTCCTGAAAGCTGTCCAATTTGCACCTGAAATAATTACTTGGAGGATAATTCCAGATTATGGAAATTGTACAGATCATCGGTGCCGGCCATTCCTCCAAGTTGACGAGCTTGAATGATCCGTCGCTCGTGGTCATTGGCCGGGTATTTCAAGATTATGATGGCACCTCCTTGGGTTGTCACCAGGGCCGGTCTCTTCCTCTTGCAGACGAACAGGGAGTGGGTAGACAAGCGCCATGGTGGAGACCTTGGCGGCAAGGAGCGTCGTCGAGAGCCTAACGCACCTACCAGTCCTCTCCCGGTACGTGTGGAGGCCGATGTAGATGCTGACAAAGGTCTTGTTTCAGAAGATTTCTCCAACGGAGGTCTTCTTTCAGAAACAAAAAAATGGTTTGGTGGTGAAGTTTTTTATTTTTGCAACATGGATCTTCTTTCAGAAAGTTTCTGCAACAGAGATCTTGTCTCAGAAAAAAAAGGTTAAGTGGTGTTTTTTTTAACAAGGGTCTTGTTACATAAGGTTTCTGCAAATGGGTCTTGTAAAACAAAGAAAAAACGGTTCGGTGGTGTTTTGCAACAAGGCTTCTGTTGCAGCGGGATGAACACAACACTAGCCTTGTTGAATAGGCTGACACTCATGTGAAAGTCCACCAGACGGCTTTTACGGGCTCCATCAAACCCGCGGTGAGGCGGTCGATCTTTTTAGACCATCACCTGGTTACCACGTAGCGTTTCTCAAATTGTGAGTCGCCTATTCCCTCCCCTCCCCTCGCCCCCTATCGACATTAATGACCCTTTATCATCCATCGGCTGTCACATCATCCTAGCAAGTAGATCAAGCTTGTTAGTTTGCGGACCATAGAAGAAGCAAAAAGTTGTCACACTAAAGGGTTAAATACGAAGGAAAAAAGAATACTACAAAAGCTACCATAAGATGGCAACTATATGATATGTATAAAAAAGAACTAAAATGTACCTTCTTTTATTTTCTTTTTTCTGTTCTTGTTCACAATTTTGAGAAGAATTTTCCTTTCTTTGTCGGGTACATTGTTTTGGTTCATCATGTCCCTAAAATAAATTGTTCAGCAGAATTTTTTCCTCTTATTATATGGTTTATTATGTTCTATGAGCATGGAATTGAGCAGCAAATTGTTTCGTACCACAAATGTCTGTTTTCTACTAGTTGCAAAATGTATCGGATAGAAAGTTGATTTATGCACGTAGTGTTTCTAGAGCCTAAAGTTGTAATTATTTCATCTATTCACACATTTTATAGCTTAATTTTAAATTGGCCCATAATTTACGATCTGGTAACACTAAATGCTAACCCTGTGTCTCTAAAAAAAAAACTAAATGCTAACGCTAATTGATAATCCAGTTGGCCCAGAGTAGGTGCCAGCTTGCAAAACCCAGCAAAAAAAATGTGAGCCAATCTTTTAGCAGTGGCAGCATTGAAAAAAGTCTTTTAGCAGTGGCTGTCACATAGGTGATTTCCACTAAAAACATAGACTATTGGACGCCACTTCGACTCTTGAAATCTAATTATGAAGCAAGCGAACCATTGGCCCGCCCATCTCCTATGTTTCGAGTTAGAGTGATCAAAAAAATTGGGGATGGTCTATCGGATTGAGAAGCGACTATCGAGAGATTTTAGATTTGAGACCAATCTGCGCAAAATCCAATAACCCATGAAAGTGGCAATTGTGATAATTTTCAAAAGCTAAGAGTGGCAAAAATGAAATGTCAAAATCCAGAATGACATAAGGAAAATTGGCAAAATCTAGAGTGGCAAAAATAAAATTTTCCCAAAAATAAATGGACGGCGGCCATATTTCGCGTAAAAGCCCTAACAATTGGTCCAGCAGGACTTTTTCAGCCCATGGCGCAGAATTTTCATGGGCCTCTCCGCCAGTGTCTAAGTCTAACCTAGCTCTCCTGCTCTGCTCGCCACTCTCGCACCGCCGCCGTCCCCAACGCCAAATCCCTCGCCTCCTTCCCCGCCTCGCCGCCGCCCTTAGCGCCGCCTCGCCGTCGACCACTACCCTGCGCCGCTCTCCCCAGCGCTGACTGGCCTGCCGAAACCCCTCCCCCGTGCGGCTGTTCCCCCAAGCCGCCTCTCCCTCCGCCGATCTCCCCCCGCCCATTCAACGCCACCCTCCCCCGCCGCTCGCCCAGCGACCCCTGCTGCTCCACATCATCAAAGTGCCAGCCCACAAGATCGCAGGAATCATGTCGTTCGCTGGCGTATCCGTCGTTGCCGGCGGTGGCGGCCGCGGCAGGCCGTCCGCGGAGTCGGACATGATCTACTCCGGCTCCATCGCGGCCAGCAGAGGCAGCTGCTACTATCACCTGCTTGTGGTGGAAGGCTACTCCCGCATCAAGGACCTGCCCAATGGAGGCACAATCATGGGCCGCACTTTCAAAGCTGGGGGCTATCGATGGGTTCTGAGGTTCCATCCCAATGGTTATTCCCCGGAGGACGTCGGTTCCATCTCGGTTTATCTTGTGCTTGACCAGGATGTTGCGCGGCCCGTGAAGGTGCATCTCCAGTTTAGCTTGGTTGATGAGATTGGCAAGCAAGATCAAGCATTCATCCGTGCAATCAAAGCATGCGACTTCTCTGGCAGCGGCTCTACTTGGGGCCACAGTTGTTTCATAAAAGGCGAGGACCTTGAGAACTCAGAGCATCTCAAGGATGATTGTTTCACCATCCGGTGCGATTTCATCATAGCTGAAGATGATGCTGCTGCTCCCTTGGTAAAGGTGCCGTCATCTAACAAGCGAGCATCTGAGCCATCTGTTATTGACCAAGGTTGGCGCCGATGTGACGTTCCAGGTCGGCCATGAGACGTTCGCCGCCCACCAGTGTGTGCTCGCGTCCCGTTCCGCCGTATTCATGGCACAGCTCTTTGGCCCCATGAGGGAGGGGACCACGGCAGCCGCCATACAAATACAAGACATGGAACCGGACATCTTCAAGGCACTGCTTGGTTTCGTCTACACCGACTTGATGCCAGAGATGGAGGCGGAAAGAGAAGCAGAAGTAGAAGAAGGTGGAGCTGACGAGGTGACGTGGCTGCGTCACTTGCTTGCCGCGGCGGATAGGTTTGATCTCCAGAGGCTCAAGTCGATGTGTGAAGAGAGGTTGTTGGAGCACATAGATTTGAGCTCGGTGTCGGCCATCCTTGCCGTGGCAGCGCAGCTCCAATGCTGTGGACTCAGGGAGGCGTGCCTGGAGTTCCTCAAAGTTCAGTCAGCTGCAGACTTGGGAGAAGTCATGGCGACCAGCGATTGGGAGCACATAGGTGCAACCGATCACTCCGTTCTGAACCAGCTCATCGCCAAGCTTGCTTCCAAAGTTTAGTTCGTCTGCTGTAACAGTGTCCTCATGTGGCTTCTGGTACGCATAAGAGGATCAAACATATGTGGGCAAGGCATGGATGGTTTATAGATTCAGTTAAGCAAACATCAATGTTGATCTATTGTCATGCATTCCTTTCATGCAGTGTGAATCTGAGTACATACTCCGTACCTTGGCTTCAGCAATCTCCATGTTGATCGATCATGCGATCCTGAAAATGGCCAGGCCTGGTGAAAATGCAACAGTGTGAACGTGTATCTGTCTATCTAGCTATGTGATCCTGAAAGCTGTCCAATATTCAGCTTGAATTAACGAATCGGAGGGAACTGTACAGATCGCCGGTGCCATTCCTCCAAGCTCCCTCCCGTCGGCATACTATTGTTATGGCATGACGGCCACCCCCTTGTGGTCGTTGGTGGGGTACGATGGCTTCTCCATTGTCGTTGAACATGTTGATTGCTTGTTGGTGGACGACTCTTGCCGCATGAGTGGTTCCACCTGTCCTGCAGGACGTAGATGAGCACCATGGTGGAGACCTTGGAGGTGAGGAGCACCGTCTAGAACCTGATTCTCCTGCGGGTCCTCTTCTGGTATGTGTGGAGGTCGATGTAGACGGTGGCCACTCCCACCACACACACCACCACTCCCATCAGCCAGTGCGTCAGGTACCACATGCTCTGCGCCTTTACGCCCATGGATATATATGCCAACAAACATCAGAGGAACACAAATTCTGATAGAAACATCAAACTTGTTAATCTTGTTCGTGTATTTGCTTGTGTACTACATGCAGGGTTTATCTCATGTAGTTGCATTTTACACGACCTTTATATCTCCACAATATTCCTAAAATCAGTGAAAAAACTGTTAGTCGCCTATTCACTCCCCTCGACTCACCCCCTTGGTCGACATCAATGATCTTTCACATCCATCGGTTGTCACATCCTCCTAGTCCTAGCAATTAGATCTAGCTTGTTAGTTTTGGGACTATAAAAAGAGCAAAAACTTGTCACGACATCGTAACTAAGGGGTAAAGTATGGGGAAAAATAATACTATAAAAGCTATCACAAGATGACAACTGTGAGGTACAAAAAGAAGTAGAATTTACATACTTTTACTTTCTTTTGCTCATGTTTGTTATTTTGAAATGCACTTTCCTTTATTGTTCACATTGTTTTGGTTCATTATGTCACTAGAATAAATTGTTAAACCATTTTTTTCTTCTATTATGTTATTATTTTCTATGACAATGAACTCGAGCCGCAAATTGTTTTGTGATCACTTTTTGTACCACAAATGTCTGTTTTCTACTAATTTATGTATCAGATAGAAAATCAATTTATGCATGTAATACCGTTTCTGAAGCCTAGAGTTTTATTTATTTTTCATGTATTCACACATTTTTCTAGTTTAATTTTAAATTGGCCCATAATTTAGGATCTGATAACACTAAATCCTATAGATAACCGTTCAAGATAATCCAGTCGGCCCAGAGTAGGTGACCACACTCTCTTTGAGCCCGCTTGCAAAAGCCCAGCAAAGAAAGCAATGTAAGTCAATTTGTTAGTAGCAGGTGTCACACTGGCGATTTCCACTAAAAACACTTCAACAATTAAACACCAGGTGAAATAGTTCTCCTTAGACTCTTGGATGCCGCTTCGACCCCTAGAATTTAATTAGGAAGCAAGCAAACCGTCGGGCCGGCCACTGCCTATGTTTCGGATTGGACTGATGAAAAGAACCGGGGATGGTCTGTCGACTAGTATTTGGAACAAGAACTCGCCCAGGAGATTTTAGTTTGAGATCAATCTGTGCCAAATCTAAGAACCCACATGCATTAGCCTGAATTTACTTAGGAAGCAAGCAAACCGTTGGGCCGGCCATTACCTATGTTTTCGGTTGGACTGATGAAAAGAATCGGGGATGGCTTGTCGACTAGTATTTGGAACAAGAACTGGCCCGGGAGATTTTAGTTGACTTTGTTTGTTGACAAGCAAACCGTCGGGCCGGGAACAATGTCATGAGGATGGTCTGTCTAATCTGCCGGATCATCTGTGTCCCCGTGACATTGTTAGTTGAACGGGAAATCCTAGTAGCAGTGACCACATTTTTTGGGAACGCACACATAATATACTCCAGTTTACGTCGTTCATGGCCTGGCAGTAGTAGACACTGAAATACACTGTTTTAATTAGAATAAGTAGAAACATACTAGGCATGACAGAGATTAATTATTGTGCTGGATCAGCCTCAGACTGCCTTGATCTCGTTTTTGAAGCCGCAGAAACTGAAGCAGCATACCTCCAGAATACTTGTCCTCCAACTGATGCATCAGCCTTAACCTGTCGTGGCCAGTTGACCCTTCCCGTTCTCCTGCCTCTGCTACAGTCCCATAATTTTCCCCTTCGTGACAATGACTATGGGGGTGTAAGTGGAATGGCCACCAGATCTCTCCTGCTCCTTTTCGTCCAGAAACTGCTTAGATTCCTCGACGAGGCAGGCAAAAGTATTGACAGGATCGATGCCTTGTCCCTCACGTGCCTCTTTCGTTTTGGCACAAACTGATGAGCCAGATGTGGATACGCACGGATCAGCGTATCGCGTATGGTCACACAGAGAAACAATTAGTGTGGCTGAGAGCTCACTTTCCTGTACACAGATCACTCTTGAGCATCTCGCGGATCAGGACCTTCTAAATCTGCATTTATTTCCCTCAAGATCTGCAACATATATCAAGTGGAGTACATTTCAGTTTGGCAATAATGGCAGCAGTTTACATAATCAAATATTTTCAGTCTAGTCTAGTGGAGTCTGGACAGTTGAGTTGACGTTTATTATTACCTTTGGCATCACAACTGTAGGGCTTTCAGCAGTTTCTTGAAACATTCAGCATTCTTGGTGCATTGGATACATAGGTCCTTGAGGTTTTCATATGCCATTGTCACCATGGAACTGTTTTTCCTGTTGTCAACAATCATGTCTGCCAGGGCTGCTACGAAAGCTCCTTCAGTTTCAGTGGGCAGAGCTGAAGAAGAAGATATGTCCACAATCCACATACATATATACAAGAGTTTCCTTGGCTAGTTTTGGCAGCTGTCCAAGACACTCTTCACAGCATTTGTCACACCTGATAGCAGTTTCTGTATAGCCTAGCTTTTCATTCAGAAAGACATCATAGATCCTGTTCATTATATATACATCACAAAAACAGCACTCCCTCTGTCCCATAATAAGCATTTTTTACACTAGTGTGGTGTCAAAAACACTCTTATATTATGGGACGGAGGGAGTATTACAAAGGGATAAGAAGTGCATTTACTAAATAAACCTTCATATCCATACGCATCTTAGAAAGATGGAGCCACGAAAAGAAAGAAATTATGCATCACAAATATATGACTTGATGATTAGAAGGACTAACTCAGCTGTCTGAAGGTGGGTAATGAACTAATGATTGTTAGACACCAAAAGTCTTTGTTAGCCAGCGTGGAGACGAAACCACCAAGGAGAACGGCAGTGGTCCAGGTAATAGCCAGGAAACCTAGGCCCCTGATGGCCATGGAAAGGTATCCCGTGAACAGGGCATAACTGTTAATACACACTACTTCCTGCCACTTGAAGTCATCTGATGGATCTGCCATTCTCCTGAGGAATCTGAGGTCAATCGTCGAATGTGATAATTTCAGTGACAAATTTAGATGGAGTTCACCCAAATTAACCTTCTTCTTTTGTATTACTATTATATAAAATTAGAAAAAGGAGTATGCAGTCGTCCTCACACACTGGCAGGTGGGACTTGCCTGACAGTTAATTCTATTATGCAGATGTCGGATCCATGTGGTGGATTACATGTTATTCGGACACCTTGCTAGGTGGATAACATGATTGGTGTGTTGCGTCAAGTAGTGGCTGCAAACAATGTGGCAGGCGCCAGTCGGGGATGGGGTGGAGTGCACGGACAGAGCAGAAGTAGCATAGTTATTTGTGCTTCCTGTCTGGAGCTAACTCTGGTATGAGATGAGTTAGCCTGGTGTTCTCTAAGACTGCAACATCTTGGTTTGGATAGCTGCTTTTCCAAATTGTAATGAAGGTGCACACATGTATTTTGACAGTAAAGTCCATCAATTACATGATTTCACTGTTAGTTAATTCTGCTCTGCACTGTTAGTTAAATGATTATTTTGAGTAATTTTTTGCTTCCTGTCTGGAGCTAATTCCTGTTATATTCTTTTTATTTTGCGAATGTAATTCCTGTTATATTCGCCAAATATCATGTATGACATCTGAATAATGCAGTCAGAAGTGATATGAGTGTCTGCTGAAATGAAGGCTCTCTCTTACTCAACAAATTGTAATGCTAGACTTGGAATTTAATGTCTTGATGAAAGGCTGGGGAGTATAGCTGAGAAGCAAGGTACTCAACATGGTAAGTTAATGCCCTCTTGAATTTTTGTTTTGTTTTGGAGTTCTGCTCTCCATTAAATAATCATTTTGGCAATTGCGTTAAGTTTCACTGAGACATTAGTCAAGTGTAACTGTTCATTTAACTTTACTAACACTCTTTGATCTTTTGTTTAAACCAAATTGGGGCATTGTACCTTTTGTAACGTTAACAAGGAACAGAACATGCATTTCTCAAGTAAGTTTCAGGTAACCAAGTTGATCAAACTTACCAGCACATATTTCTTCTATAACTTCATCTTCGATAACATAACGACGTTCATATTTGTTTTTGGAGACTGAGATATCTACATGGAAGAATTATATCTAACTAATGGAATGCTTGCTTAAGTCTCCCGTTATCTATTTGGTGACGAGGATTGGCAATTTGTGCCCAGCTATTTATAATCCTTTTTAACCGTGTCCCACACACATCATCCCTGAATTTTCAGTAGCTTTTATGAACAAGAAGCTGCACTTTTAAGTCAGAGAGCAGTTGGTTGCAATATCATTTTGATTTATTTGATAGTTTTTACATCAGAGTGCGTTACCGACTGAAATTGAGTCATGTTTATAGCTTTGCGAAGCATACAGCTGGACAGAGCTGTCATCTAGTTAACCCGCAGAATGAAATTCAAACGATTATATAAAGCTATTGAATTGTATGAAAACAGTCTCATTTTTTGCCTCTGTTTTCCAATCAATACTTCTGTCAGTTCTATACATCTTCGCACTTTTGCTCAGTGCCAAGGAAGACTATCTTTTTCAAGTTATTTTCAGGATCAAACATATGTGATGACAATCTTGTATGGAACCCCCTTAATCTATGAACTAACCATATGTATGTTGTCTTTGTTGAAGGGGGTGTCAACAAATAGTAATTAGACATTTAGTTTGTTGCCGTATTAAGTCAGTGCCATTGGAAATTTGGTTCGTTCATCCCCAAATATCAAGAAAGAGATTCTTAATGCAGGGCCTACGGCCTGTGGGTTGGCTATTCGGGTGTGATCGTCATCTGGAGCTTGGAGTGATAGTTTAAGATGCATCTGTAGATAGTTGAGTGCATATTGTATTTATTTGTTCATATTTGCGCAACTAGTACAGAAAACTCAGATTCTATGTAGTACTTTTAGTTATGCATGAGAATACACAACTTGATTTTATTTTTTGAACCATAAATACACAACTTGATTACCAACCTACTGTACCATTGTACACATGTTGATTGACTTTGCTATTATGAATTTGATGCATGCCCCTCATGATAAATCATTTTACATTGCTGCAAGTTATATATAACAGTTAATCTTTGGTCAACTCCATATATGCCATGTCCACTTATTCAAAAAATGCCACTATAAGAAATGACTTATGAAAAATATCACTACAAAAAAGAGTTAATTCAACGAATGCCAATCCTTTTACTAGGAAAACCTTGGAGGCTCCATGGTGAAAAAGTTTGTGCTATAAGCCTGCTTAACTCTAAATGGCGACCAATGATATGTATCTTTGGTTATTTATCCTCTCTGAATTTCTGATATGGTCAAATTTTGGATAGCCACACCAAAATTGTACGTGAAGATATTTGTTGCCTAGTATCTCCACCTTTATCTTCTGTACGTTTTGACTGTTCAAAATCACATGGGTGCTACCTCGACTGTTATATTTCTGTGGACATTGCCTCAAATACATTAGTGAAAGCACAATGTTATTGTATCAACAACTCTTCACTATATGTTTATGTGGTAAATTTAGATTGTTTACAATATCAAGGGGTCAAATTGCAAAAGTTCTGGCTACAGGGATTACACGGAGTAGTAGTAAGAGGCTGTTTGGATTGCAACCATCGCTGCCATGCCAAAATATTTGGATGAATGCCTGTTTGAAGGGGTTTCAACATTTTGTCATGCCAGCCCACCACAGCTCTCCATCTATTTTGACACCAAATCTGGGCGAATCACGGGCGGGCAAAGCCACCGCCAATTTTTCGGTGCCCCTGATGAGCAATTCGGAAACCTGCAAAGACCAAATAATAGAATTCATATGCTTCATTTAAAAATACTATATTCATGCAAAACCCAATATAATTATATTCATACGGTGGTTAAGGATTGGTGATGCGTGATTACGAACATCAACGGCAACAATTGCCCAAGTGACGTGAGAAGCGCATGGCATCCCTCTTCCTTGCCGGGTGTAATAGAGTAATTCGTAAGATTAAAGATGATGGTAATTTGTGGGTCGTAGCGGGCACTGTGCACTTTAGTTCGATCATGTCGCGAGAGTGGGCTTTTGGAACTCGTTGATTTTTGCTTTCTTGTGATCTCTTGTTAATTAATGAGTATCTTGTGGAATGGGAACATCAACATGGGGAAACTTCGTCGTACTAGTGAAATGAAATAAATCACTGTTAATTATACTTGGTATAAGATTTTGAAGTTATATTGCCTAGCAAAGGTAAAAAATATATTTAGCGTACGTTACATGGCACTCTCTCTCGTGCCGTGTTATGGTTGCTACTAGACATCTGGAAGTTTCGCCCAACGTTCTTGTTTGTTTGGACCAGAAGATATGAAACACTTGTTGTTTCTATGCCATAAAGCAAAGGAGGTTCGGAGAATGCTGGAGATGGATGAAATTGTTAAAAGAGCTTCTGAAGTTGATTGTGTTGGTGAGGCTCTTCTGGAGTTGTTACTCCTTTTGCCAGACCAAAATTTGTCTATTATGGGTCTTCAAGATGTTGTGAGATGGTCGCCATTATTGCTTTTGGCATTTGTGGTGGGAAAAATGTAAAGATGCTAATCAAATTACTATGTGGATACGTGCTCTGGAAGAGGAGGTTGCATTCACCCTCCCATGAGTTTTGTTAAACTTAATGCCGATGCTTCTTTTGATTAATACTTGCTTATGGGCACAGCTGGTGCCATCCCAAATGACGATAAAAGCAAATTCATTGTCGGGGAAATTGGAGTACAGATTGGTGTGCAAACATCCTGACGGTTGAAGACTTGACGTTGGGATTTGGTATATCCCTGTAATGCCTCATTATTAACTGCGATAATTTAAAGATTATTGAGACCATGAATCAAGGATGATTTGCAGGAGCGGTGGCAGTTTTTGACGATTGTTACTGCTTATGGTTTAAAGAGCTTATGAGTGAAGTTGAACCCCTCCTAATACTCCCTCTGTTCCTAAATATAAGTCTTTTTAGAGATTCTACTATGGACTACATACGGATGTATATAAATATACTTTAGAGTGTAGATTCACTCGTTTTACACTGTATGTAGTCCATAGTGGAATTTCTAAAAGGATTTATATTTAGGAACGGAGGGAGTATATGTTATTTCGAATGAATAAAAAAACAAAGCTCCTCAAAGTCGTTGAATATAAAAAAAATATGTGAAAGTCGGTGAAAATAAAAAAAATTAGGCAACGGTGAAAATAAATAACAAAGGTGGCCTGGATGGGTAGCCCAAGATCACAGTAAAATCTGGGCCAGCTGGGTATTTTTCAGCCCACCCTACGGAATTTTCTAACCTAGACTCGTCCCCATCTCCATCTGGCCGTCGACCACTCCCCTTCGCCGATTAACCGGACGTAAGCACTCCCGCTTCGCCGCCTCTCCCTCCGTCAACACCCCCATCCTCTAGCTAGGTCCTCCCCTGCCGCCGGCTCGCCTCCCGCCCCACCTTCCTCTCCGTTGGGATACAACCTGAGCCGTATTCCGACTGAGAAGAGCACAGCTCACACATCGCCAAAGTGCTACTGCTAGCCCATAATATCGCAGGAATCATGTCCTTCGCCGGCGCATCCTTCGTTGCTGGCGGTAGGCTGCTACAGCCACCCGCGCAGTCGGCCATGATCTACTCCGGCACGGCCAGCAGCGGCAGCTGGTGGTATCACCTGCTTGTGGTCGAAGGCTACTCCCGCGTCAAAGAACTGCCCGATGGAAGGAGAATCAGAGGTCGCACCTTCCGAGCTGGAGGTTACCGATGGGCTCTGAAATTCTATCCCAATGGTGATGGCATCGATGCTGCCGGTTTCATGTCCGTTTGTCTCATCCTTGATCAGGATGTTGCACGATCTGTGAAGGTGCATACTCAGTTTAGTTTCATTGATCAGGTTGACAAGTAAGTACTTTCATGCACCCGTGCAAGTAAAGCACATGATTTCTTGAGAAAAAACTGCGGCTATGGTCGAAGTCGATTCATCAAACGAGAGGAATTTGAGAAGTCACAGCATCTCAAGGATGACTGTTTCACCATCCGGTGTGACTTCATCATCGCCGAAGCCGCTGCTACCTTCATTGAGGTGCCGCCATCTAACATATCCGAGCACCTGAACCATCTCTTTGCGACGGAGGTTGGCTCTGATGTGACTTTCAAGGTCGGCCATGAGAGTTTTGCTGCTCACCGGAACATTCTCGCAGCACGTTCCCCTGTCTTCATGGCGGAGCTCTTCGGCCCCATGAAGGAGGGGACCATGACGGGTGCCATACTGATACAAGACATGGAGCCGAACGTGTTCAAGGCCATGCTTGGTTTCATCTACAGCGACTTGATGCCCAAGATGATGAAAGTGGGAGGAGAAGCAGAAGGTGACGCCGATGAGGTTACGTGGCTGCGACACTTGCTTGCTGCGGCGGATAGGTTTGATCTCCCGCGGCTCAAGTCGATGTGTGAAGAGAGGCTATCGGAGCACATAGATTTGAGCTCGGTGACAGCCATCCTTGGTCTGGCAGCGCAGCACCATTGCCACGGACTTAAGGAGGCCTGCCTGGAGTTCCTCAAAGTACAATCTGCTGCAACCTTGGGAGGAGTCATGGCGACCAGCGAGTGGACACATGTCTGCAACTGATCCCTCCATTTTGAATGAGCTCATCGCCAAGCTTGCCTCGAAAGCTTAGGTCGTTCGTTGTAATGGTGTGTTCTTACTTAGACTAAAATGGGTCGGTAGCTGAACTTACGCAAGGAATTCACTTTTGCACTTGGTCATTGTATTTTGTAAAGTCCAAACTATTATTGTGGTTCCTGAAATTGTCTCACTGTATGGGTACCGCGAGCTGAATGGTTGCCTACTTGGCATTATAAGAAGTTAGTGTTTGATATAAATCTCTTGTTGATCATGCAATCCCCGGCTGGGCAAAATGCCACACTGTGTGTTTGTATCTATCTACGCTCTATTTTCTCAAAAGGAAGATCTATCTACGCTCTAAAAGCTGTCCAATTTGCAGCTTCAGTTAACAAGTTACTGAAATTAATCCAAGGTTATGTTTCTGATCTTCCTCTTCTAACTATTTTATTTCCAGCTCGTGAACTGTACAGATTGGTGTTGCATTTGGCCAAGCGAGCTCCCATCATATGCTACGGCATCATGGCCACCTCCTTGTGGTAGTTGGCCGGGTACGACAGCCACCTCCTTGTGGTAGTTGGTCGGGTACGACGGCTCCTACGACGTCTTTGGACCGTCGCTCATCCTGGTCGCCTCTTGCTGCACGATGTGGTTCCACTTGTCACGGAGGAGGTAGACCAGCGCCACCACAAACACCTCAGTGGCCAGGAGCACCGTCCAGAGCCTGAAGCTCCTGCCGGTCCCCGCCAGCGCCGGCAGCCATTGTACCAGGTACCACACGCCCCTTGCCTTGACGCCCCTGAAGAAATTATTAAGACAACATGTTCAAGTTCAAGCACCATAAGAATTCACGAGATTTGAGACATAAGGCGCTATGTCCCCACAAAACCTGGATTTTTTTGCAAAATCTTACCGCCCCATGGGGCCTGCTGTGCTGGTGCGGTTTATGTTAACCCCTGACATTATCTATATATTCATAACTATATTCGAAATATCTATATATCCATACACATTATTGTGATTGAATGAAAGTCCACAAAATTCTTAAATAAAAAAGACCAGGCAGCACGACTGCAGATGCCTAAGCTTGGATGTAGTAGAACCAGATCAGGATCAGACAACGTCCTAGTAGCACATATGAGAATGAGCATGCTCTAAAGAATAAGTATAAAGCAACATAACCTGTGGTCAAGCTTGACATGCTGGAAGCGTATAGGGTTGAGCGACACGATTTGGACCAGTGTTGTACAAGCTAGGCTCATTGATAGCTTTATGAGGCTGCTCCTGAAGTGTGTCACGCCTGTCGGGTTCTTGGTAAAAGTGAATGTCAAATCTACTACTCCCTTTGATAAATAATAATAAGTGTCGCAGTATTGAACTAAGGTTTAACTTCAATACCGCGACACTTATTATGGATCGGAGGGAGTACAATTTTTTTTACTAGTTTCTGGAACCACAGATGGCTTGATGGGCATGCTCCGAAGAGTTGGCACCATTTTTATTTTTTTGCTATATCTAAAAATCTCACGGTGAAAGATGCTATCCCCAATGGATCTTGGATGAGACGTTTGGGTAATATCTCCTCTGCGGATGTGCTGGACATGTTCATTTCCCTTTTTGGAAAGAAAAACCAGTCCATCACTCTTGAGCCTAAACCTGACTAGATATTCTGGAAGATCTCGGCCAATGGACAGTACTCAACCAAATCTTCTTGTAAAGTGCAATTCTGATCCCGTATCACATCAACTTCAGCTTGAGAAGGTTTGGAACATGCAAGCCGAGATGAAAATCAAATTCTTCATCTGGACTCTCCTCTAAAACAGGCTTTGGACAGCGGATAGACTGAGAAGGAACTGATGTTTGCAAAGGAAACTTGGTTCCTAGCTGCTGCTCAGGCGCCCTGACTGCCGTTTCAATCAATGATTAGTTGTAAAAGACTAGACGCCCGAGGAAAAGATGGGCATAAGTGGATGAATGCTCAGCGGCGGTTTACATCACTTGAAGCATATGCCTCCAGAGAAATGGGAGGATTTGTAAGGCCGCGATAAACTCCAGTGCTATGGTCATGTCTTTGGCTAGAGAAGCTATTGGCCTCCTCAAGAAGGCATGGGAGTGAGTGTGTTATACCTGTATGGTCGAACTGTTTGCACAGATTCAGATTTAGTTTCTGACTTCTTTTTCTCTTGTTTCCTCGGCTGTTTTGCTTCAGTCTTGTACAATTTCTCCCCTACTGAAATGAAAATGCAGAGCTCATGCTGTTCTGGTAAAAAGAAACAGAGATATGACAAAAGGGGACCCCATGTCAGCATATTTATTTCTCATGTGTGCCGAAGGCTCTACTTCCTTGTTAAACAACTTTGAAGGCGCGTATATGGACAGATGTATCTGGAAAAGTCCTTCAAAGACCTTTCCCTTCATGACCATCTCTAGCATATTTTTTAAATGCCTTCTACTCCCTCTGTTCCTAAATATAAACGTTTCTAGAGATTCCACTACGAATGTATATAGATGCATTTTAGAGTGTAGATTCACTCATTTTGCTTCGTATGTAGTTTATAGTGGAATATCTAAAAAGACTTATATTTCGGAACGGGGGGAGGATTCTATAGGCTGGCATTATATGGGCCTTCTGAGGCATTCTAAAGTGCCTCCTATTGACGTCTGTGGTGTAGTGTTGGTCACTGTATTTTGGAAAGTGCAACATATGGTCATTGTGGCTGCTGAAATGTCTCACTATATATATATATATATATATATATATATATATATATATATATGTACTGGGCAGTGTGAACCGAAGGGTAAACCTACCATCAATCTCCTGCTGGTCTATCTATTCACTAAGGCGCAGTCCAAGATTATGTTGCACAAGACAAATGCACGCATGATCTTTCTGTTGTGTCTCTTTTTAGACCCAGCACATGAACTGTACAGATTGGTGTTGCATTTGCCTTAGCGAGCTCCCATCCTCATGCTAGGGCATGACGACCACCTCCTTGTGGTTGTTGGCCGGTTACGACAGCTCCTCCTACGTTTCTAATCGCCCCCATGGGGCCTGCCGGGCTGGTGTGGTTTTATGTTTACCACTGATATTATCTATATATCCATAACTACTCTAAAAAATATTATATATCCATAGACATTTTGATTGAATGAAAGTCCATGTGATTTCTTTTAAAAAGGGGGAAATGTATATTGAAGATCTCATTTGTTACCTATTCGAGCGGCCTTACCCCCATATTAGCCTCCCACCTTGTGACCTTGGGTCCTCCCATGGCGGAGCCACATTGATGAGAGAACGCCTGCGAATATAACAACCCCAACATGATACATGGAGGAATTTCTAGTACGAATCAACCATACCTAGATCACCATGCGGGAATCCTCAAGCCCGTGGCGGAGGGGTGCCACTCACCGCATCAACGCCTCAACCATCACACCCCTTGTCGGCTTGGGCAGGCGGACAACAAAAGGCGTCGACGAACCCCGCGCCTAATCCCACCGCCTGACGACCGGAATCATGATTCTCGACATTCGAGCTTCCCCTAGCACCTAATTCCTCCTCATCCGAACTTGTTCCACTTCATCTTCCTCTGAATCGTCAAAAACAATTATCCAGAATCGCCCTGGACCACGATGTCTAATCTGAAATCCGCCACCATCACAGTGGCATATCCACACCAAACGTGTGCGCCGCAGAAGCAAACAATGTTCAAGTCCAGCTTGATTTGGGACAATCGTTTCCATTTCCATGCACAACCCCAAGTGATAAGTTCTAGCACTTTGACATCGAGAAGTTATCAAAAATAAAAAATTTGACACCGAGAAGTTATTAATTTTTTTTTACTTTGGCACCGAGAAATGTAATTTGTGCTACTCCCTCCGTTCACTTTTATAAGACTTTTTAGGCATTTACTTTGACACCGAGAAATGTAATTTGTGCTACTTAGTATACGTTTTTTGTCCT